ATCTACTCTCAAATTCCTTTTTGCTTGGTCATCTTTCTAGCGCCGTTTAAGTATAGCTAGCAGGCATCGTTTGGGGACAGCTGGGGCAACATCAAACGATGTATCCCCAGATAGAGTCCTTTCCAATCGAAAAATGTCCCCGGGTCTTCTTTACGCCCCGGCGCAATCTCATTGTGACCAACCACAGCGTCAATACTTAACGCCGGGTACTTTAAAAACAAAGCCAGCAGCACACGTGCCAGGCTATCGTATTGAGCAAGACTGAACGGCTGATTGACAGCACCTTCTAGCTCGATACCAATAGCAAAGTCGTTGCATCTAGGGCGATGGCGCCAACATGACATACCTGCGTGCCAGGCGCGCCGATCAAATGCAACAAACTGCTCCAGGCCACCCTCGCGATCAATCAGGAGGTGTGGCGACACTTCCATTCCCGCCAGGTCATGAAATGAGGGGTGTGCGTCAAGGTCCAGGCAACCTTGAAACAGGGCTTGTGGATACCCGGTTCCGAATTGGCCTTCTGGCAGGGATACGCAGTGTAAAACCACCAGTTCGGGCTGCCGGTTAAAAGGCCGCTCATCAAAGTGCGGGCTGGGCAACCAGTCGGCAGCATCAAGATGGTGCAGATCATCTACTACCACAGCTGTGTAAATCCTACTTAGTTAAACGGGAACGAGCGGCTACAATTGTCCGTCTTTGCATCACACAAAACCACCGGGATAACTATATATATGGCTCAAGGTACGTCGATAAAACCACCATCACGGGATATTGTGACCGCCAACGTCGCTGCCGCACTCGCCGAAGATCTTGGCGCAGAGGATGTTTCTGCAGCGCTGATTCCGGCATCTACATCCGCCCACGCGCGCGTCATCACTCGCGAAGATGGCGTGTTCTGCGGCGCACCCTGGGTTGTTGAAACTGGACGCCAGGTAGACCCGGACATCACCATCACCTGGCATGTCGAGGATGCAGACTCGGTGTCTGCAAACCAGACTCTGTTTGAGTTGAGGGGACCTGCGCGCAGTTTGTTGAGCGCCGAACGCACGATGTTGAACTTCGTGCAGCTCCTGTCAGGCACGTCGACTAAAACCGCAAAGTACGTACGCCTCATCAACCAGACAGATACGGTATTGTTGGACACGCGCAAAACCATTCCGGGACTGCGTGTGGCGCAAAAATATGCGGTGACCTGTGGTGGCGGCAGCAACCATCGCATGGGGTTATTTGACGCTTATCTGTTAAAAGAAAATCATATTGCAGCCGCAGGCAGTATCACCGCGGCAGTATCAGCAGCCCGCGCACAACATCCGGAACTGGCGCTTGAGGTGGAAACCGAAAATCTCGACGAACTGGAACAGGCCATCACTGCCGGTGCTGATATCGCTATGATCGACAATTTTTCGCTGGCGGATACCAACACTGCAGTTGCCATGGCAAAAGGCAAAATCAAACTGGAAGCCTCTGGTGGTATTGATGAGAAAACCATCACAGACATCGCCGCCACGGGCGTGGACTATATTTCAATTGGCGAGGTGACTAAAAATATTGATCCGCTGGATCTGTCCATGCGCTTTATTTGACCCGTTCACCACTTTTTTAAGGACCAAAAAAGTCGAGGCAAACACAACCACCATGAGCAGATATTCAGCATTTGCCATTCACCTGGGGATCAGTTTCCTGATCTTTGTTGTACTCACCTATCTGGTGGTTTTCGAGTGGTACCCGGGTATCTTTTTCGATTCCGACGGCGGCTGGCGCGGCATGCGTATCATCATCGCTGTGGACCTTGTGCTGGGGCCAATGCTGACCCTGATCGTGTTCAAAGCAGGCAAACCAGGTTTAAAGTTTGATATGACCACAATTGCATTGTTGCAATTTGTCTGCCTGACTGCGGGTACTTACGTTGTCTACAGCGAACGGCCGCTTGCAGTGGTTTTCAGCGACGGTCGTTTTTCTGTGATGAATAAAAAAGACTACATCGACGCAGGCCATGAGCGCCCCCCGAATCTTAAGAATTTTCCTGGCGACAGTCCGAAATGGGTCATGGTGAATTTACCGGATTCTGCCGAGGAAGAAGCCGCCCTCCGTCGGGACATGTTCAAGTCGGGCGGCCTGGTCAGTACAGTGAGCGACCTGTACGTACCCTTCGAAACAACCGGTGATGACTTCTTTGCCGAAGCAGAAGAAATTGAAGTGGTTTTGGCCGGTAGAGGTTGGGAAGCGCGCGTGAATACTTGGCTATCAGGCCAGGACCGCGAGCTAGAAGACTATGCGTTCTTCACTTTCTCAACGAGATTTGTCATCGGTTACCTGATCTACGATCGAACCACCCGGGAACATGTTGGCATTATCACAAATGAGTCTTAGGCGAAGGTTGTCAGCCGCCAGAGCCTCTGGTCGATTCCATCCATCGCATGAACCATGTTTTCTTTCGCCCGCCGCCAGAGGTGCGCTTAGGCCATGACTGACACGTTTGTGAAGCAGCGGCCAGCTCAGTAAATTGACGGCTGGTCGCCCAGGTTTCAATTTCGCGGTAAGTCGCTTCAGCGGCGGGGTGACGCCCCATGAGCTCACACCATAAGACAATATTTGCCGCAATCTCTCGTTGTTGCGCCTCTGATCCAAATGCTTCGTGCCAACGAAACAACATCAGATTCGTATCTAAATTAGTGCGGTTCAAATTGAAAGCCTCATAAAGATCCGATTCCTGCAAAGCCCTGTCCGCGGGGTCAGTAAAGTATCGACTTCTGAACTGAACGTAGCTGATCCGTACAGCTGGATTCCACGGGTCTTTATTTATCGCCGTCTGATATGCCAAGTCAGTCTGAGACATCAACAGAGGTGAAGGCGATCGAGCAAGCTCTTGTTCTAACAAGCGAGCTTCTACAAAGACAGGCACTCCTCGTCGAGCGTTCAATGACTGCGCCCACTGGGTGTAGGTTTGCATAGTACCTTCATTCGAGCTGATAACGCTGGCACCCGGCACAAGTTTATTCCCGGAGAAAACACCAATCGACAAGATATCTAAACACAGGAAGAACACGTTTACGGCCAGTAACCCAACAACTGCTGCTTTACCTATCCTGAAAGGCAGCAACTTTTTCAACAGCACCTGGTTTGATAGGTTCTCTGACTTGGCACTTCTCCCTGCTGCCACCGCAAGCATCACACTGAATACAATAACAAGCGGCAACACGTAAAAAACGAAATTCAGAAAAGAATGCAAAATCGCCACAGCCAGTGCCATCAGGACGCCAGTATTCATGTCCATCAAGCGTTGAAAAACTACCCGGCGGAAAAGTTCGAAAAATACCCAGACAAAAAGCAGCAGCAGCGGCAATGCCAACCAGATGCCACCTTCCAAGGCAAACTGCAGCAAGTCATTGTGCACGAGGATGCCGGAAGTGCCCTGTTCCAGAGGCGAACGGAACAACGGGTAAAGCAGCGAAAACGTATACAAGCCAGTGCCATTAATACCACCCAACTGAACCACTGCCTGTAAAGTAGCCTCCCAAATCAACATACGAGGGTTTTGCTCGCTCACTGCAGCACTATTTTCCGAGAACGAAGAGGCTAGACCCGGCAGGTCGAGGACAGAATAGGTGACCAGAGCCACAGCGATGGAAACTGATGCAACCAGTACAGACATCTTCTTCAGGTCATATCGGAACAGCATCGCGAGCAACACCACTGCTAACATGCCACCCACCACCAGCATGCCAAAACGCATATGTGTCGCCAGCATCGCCAGGGTGCACACAAAAATCAGAGAGGCCGCTAAAACACTGATCAAAATTGACCATTTCCGTCTCACAGCAAACAACAGCCACGGTATTCCGACTAAATAGAGTAATGTCAGATAGTTACCTGGATCGCGCAGAGGTGCATGCGCGCGCTGCTGGTCGTAGAGAAACTCGCCCGTTGTAAGCACTGCAAAACAGGCAACCAGAAGCGTTAAGAACACCCAGAGCTGCCGAGGATTTTTTAACAGCGAGACACTCAGCCCCCACAATGGGAGACAAGCTAACAACAAGCTGGGGATGAAGCTGGCATCAGGGCTTATCGTAAAGACAAGGTAGTGACCGCCAATCAGAGCAAGGCTGGCTAAACAGGACCAGAAAAAAATTGGCCTGTTGTGCGCAAGCTGAGCCCATTGTTCAGAAGCTGTGGCACTGAGAATGATCAACGGTCCCAGCACTGCCGGAAGCAGAAACATCGGATTATAAGTAGGACCAAAAAAATGGCAGGCGGAAAAAAAGCAGACCAGCAGCAGTATATTTTGCCAACGGCCGAGAGGAGATTTCAGGATCTGATTGAAATCTCCTTCGAAAGCATGAGTCACATTGAAACTGATAGCAAAACCTTCGAATGGTGCCGGAACGCGGAATCGAACCGCGGACCTACTGATTACGAATCAGTCGCTCTACCAACTGAGCTATCCCGGCGCAGCGCGGAGAATACTCGGTTTGCAGACCTGATTAAAGATGTCCGCTACGGACAAGGCGTATTTGCGGGATAGACCCTGCAAAGCGTGAGACCAGATGGTCCAACCGCAGTGACACGATATTCAGTATCTGCCGTGTTCGCGATACTGTACGTGACGCCATCATCGGCTCTTGGTTCCCAGCCAATAGCCGCTTCAATGGCAGCCGCATCAGCCAGATCTACAGCATATCCGCCAGTGCGCAGGAAAAAATCTTCCTGGAACACTTCCATTGTTTTCATGTTACTCAGTAATTGTCCCTGCTCTGCCGTATCTATGTAGTTTCGATAAGCAGGTAAAGCGATCGCAGAAAGAATGGCAATAATGCCGATCGCAATCATCAATTCAATCAACGTAAAACCGTTTTGTTGTGTTTTCATCTTGGGGCCTCGATAAAGCACAGTTATCAAACAAGGCAGCGAGAACGCTGCTCAACAAAAAGGGCGGCCTGAGCCACCCTTTTTGTATATCGCATCATGGGATTTACAGCTTGCGATGTAAATCGGGTGACGCTCTACCAGTTCACAGATTCAACCAGAGTGGTCAAGTCGATGTAAGCCGGACGAGTAACTGCTACGTTCAACGTGCCAGCAGCTACTGAACCACCGTTATCGGCAATTCCTACGGTACCAGCATCGTCGCCCACTGCCGCTGCATAAGCTGCTGCGCCGGTAGGTGAACCGAAGTCAAACTTCTGTGAACCAACTTCGCTTTCCAGGCTAGCCAGGATACCGGCACCGTCCAACGCAGCTTCAGCACCAGCTGTGTCTAAAATGCCCATCGCCAGACCAGTGCGTACACGTGACATTTCACCGCGTACATATTTAACACCCTCTTCGTAGTGGCTGTTAACTTTACCCATGTTGGCTGTTTCGATGTAAGACTGATAAGCGGGCAGAGCCACTGCGGCCAGAATGCCGATAATAGCTACCACGATCATCAATTCGATAAGGGTAAAACCCTTCTGCATTGCGTTTTTCATTTAGAATAAACTCCGTTACTAATGTGTAAAAACGTGGCAGCTAAAGACGTTGGTCATGCAAGCCGCGCCCGTTGCCGAGATACAAAGCAAACCGTGTGCCAATCTTAGCGAGATAAATCTATTTACCTGTAAACAGGTTACTTATCAGTAAGTTAGGGGAAATAGGAGGATGGCTCTTATTTCTGTGCGCCTTTTTCGTCAGCTATATACTCTGGCGCATACTAACTCAGAATGTCACTAGCTGACGCTGACTGTCACTGTGACCCAGACCTGCACCTCGCTCACTGTTTCAGCTTAGCCTAAAATAAAGAGTCCACAGGCAGGAACGAGTCACGTATCCAGGGACAGGTTCCCACAGGCTAATTTGTGATGGGCTTATCGACAGCCTAGTGACACAGGCATAGACTTGCTATGCATCGGGTGCGTATCGTGTCGATAACTAGTGAAAGCACTAACATCAGCACCCTATGTAGCTTCGCTGCACGCCGTTTGAAAAGGATCTTAAGCGCTGTATGGCCACAGAACCAGTACCAATTAGCGGCCTCGCTCGACGTCTCGTCGACCAAGGCCTGATAGAGGCTGAAATAGCCTTAAAAGCCACCGATGACGCCCGCAAGGCCGCTATACCTCTGGTCAGCTACCTTGTACAGAATGGTTTAGTCGAGGCGAAAGCCATTGCCGCAAGTGCCGCCGAAGAATTTGGCGTCCCGCTGATGGACCTGTCCGTTTTTGACATCGACAGTGTCCCGAAAGACCTGGTTAAAGAACAGCTGATCAAACAACACAACGCACTACCCCTGGTGCGACGCGGTGTCCGCTTATTTGTCGCGGTATCTGATCCAACCAATCTTCAGGCTCTGGATGAAATTAAATTCCAGACCGGTGTGAATACAGAACCGGTGCTGGTTGAAGAAGACAAACTTGCCGCCTTAATTGATCGTTTTCTTAACGCCCAGGAAGACAGTGGTCTGGGCGACCTGGATGGAGACGACCTCGAAGACCTCGACATGGATTCGTTCGAGGATAATGATAAGGGCGAAGACGACGATGTAGGTTCAGGCACCGACGACACCCCTATCGTCAGGTTTGTTAACAAAATGTTGCTTGATGCCATCAAAACCGGTGCGTCTGACATCCACTTTGAACCCTATGAGAAGTCTTATCGAGTTCGCTTCCGCACAGATGGCGTTCTGCACGTAGTCACGACACCGCCCTCTAATCTAGGACAGCGCCTTGCCGCCCGCCTGAAAGTGATGTCCGAAATGGATATTTCCGAACGTCGTGTACCCCAGGACGGCCGTATAAAGATGAAGCTGTCAAAAACCCGGGCGATTGATTTTCGCGTCAACACCCTGCCAACCCTGTGGGGAGAGAAGGTGGTCCTGCGGATACTTGACCCTTCCAGCGCCAAAATGGGTATTGAAGCACTGGGTTTCGAACCCCTCCAGCAAGAGCTGTTTCTCGATGCACTGCATAAACCACAGGGCATGGTACTCGTCACAGGCCCGACCGGTAGCGGCAAAACCGTCTCGCTTTATACGGGTTTGAACATCCTCAACACACACGAACGCAATATTGCTACAGCGGAAGACCCGGTGGAAATCAACCTCGAAGGTATCAACCAGGTCAACGTCAACCATCGTGTCGGGCTCGATTTTTCCTCGGCGCTGCGCTCTTTCCTGCGCCAGGATCCAGATATTGTGATGGTGGGCGAGATACGCGACCTGGAAACCGCTGAGATTGCGATTAAGGCCGCACAAACAGGCCACATGGTGTTGTCCACACTACATACAAATTCAGCCCCTGAGACACTGACTCGCTTACGCAACATGGGCGTGCCTGCTTTTAACCTGGCAACATCTGTCAGCCTGATTATTGCGCAGCGGCTAGCACGACGCTTATGCCCTGAATGCAAGAACCCATTGGACGTACCCAAAGAGGTACTCGAAGAGGAAGGCTTCACTGAAGAAGACATTGCCAGCGGATTCCAGGTGTATGAAGCCAGTGGTACAGGCTGTGACAAATGTAACGGTGGTTTCAAGGGCCGTGTCGGAATATATGAAGTAGTTAAAATAACTCCGGAGCTGTCTCGTATTATCATGGAAGACGGAAACAGCATAGATCTTGCCGAGCAGGCCAACCGACACGGCTTTAATGACCTGCGACGATCGGGTCTGGAGAAGGTGATGCAAGGCGTCACGAGCTTGGCAGAGGCAAACCGGGTCACGACCGGTCACTAACGCTCAATCTGAGTGTGACGACAACCACGGGTAGTAGTAGAACATGGCCGAAAGCGCAACATTCCTCTGGGAAGGCAAAGACAAACAGGGTCGAAAGACCAAAGGCGAAATAAAATCGTCTACACCGGCCATAGCTAAGGCAGAACTGCGACGGCAGGGTATTGTTGCGCAAAAAGTTAAAAAGAAAAGCGCAGGTATCAGTTTTGGTGGCGGCGCTGGGGTTAAACCCGCTGACGTCGCTCTTTTTACCCGTCAGATGGCGACTATGATGCGCGCGGGGGTACCCCTCGTGCAGGCTTTCGATATTGTTGCAGATGGCGTGGATAAACCCAAACTAGCAGCACTCATTCGCGAAGTCCGCAATGACGTAGCTGGCGGTAACTCTTTTGCTGCGTCTATCCGACGTCACCCCGACCAATTTGACGACCTTTTCTGCAACCTTGTAGATGCAGGTGAGCAGTCAGGTGCACTTGAAACCATGCTTGACCGTATTGCTACCTACAAAGAAAAAACAGAATCCCTGAAAGCTAAAGTTCGCAAAGCAATGACCTACCCTATCGCGGTATTAGTTGTTGCGGTAATCGTATCCGGCATCCTGCTCATTAAAGTAGTGCCTCAATTCGAGCAGGTGTTTGATGGCTTCGGTGCAGAACTTCCCGCCTTTACACAAATGGTCATTGGGTTTTCTGAATTTGCACAAAGTTACTGGTACATGATTCTGTTTGGCATTATCGCGGCAGGTTTACTGTTCAGCGAAGCACGCAAACGTTCAAAAAGCTTCAGCAACGCATTAGACCGCTTGAGTCTCAAGTTGCCCATTGCAGGCGATATCATTGAAAAGTCATCTATTGCACGTTACGCAAGAACACTGTCGACAACCTTCGCAGCAGGTGTGCCGCTGGTCGAAGCGCTCAACTCTGTGGCCGGATCTACGGGTAACAACGTTTACGTAGAAGCGGTTTATAAGGTTCGCGACGATGTCTCCACAGGACAGCAGCTCAATTTCTCCATGCGTAACACCGGCGTTTTTCCCAACATGGTTATACAGATGGTCGCCATTGGTGAAGAAGCAGGCGCTTTGGACGACATGCTGGACAAATCGGCTACCTATTACGAAGAGCAGGTCGACAATGCAGTCGACAACCTCACCAGCCTGATGGAACCGATGATCATGTCGGTACTTGGCGTGCTGGTTGGTGGTTTGATCATCGCAATGTATCTGCCGATCTTCCAGCTGGGTGCGGTTGTTGGTGCCTAGTCCAGAAAGTCCTTAGGCGTGTCTCTTGAACTCCTGACCACCTACGGCTGGACCGGTGCTGCGCTATTCATCTGGGTAGCGCTGAGTATCGGCAGCTTCCTTAATGTGGTTATTTACCGCCTGCCTGTCATGCTGAACCGCGAATGGGAAGCCCAGGCCAGAGAGATCCTGGACATGGAGCCGCCGGAAGAGACCTCATCAGAACCCTTCAATTTGATGGTGCCCCGATCACGCTGCCCCAATTGCCAGCATCAGATCACGGCAATGGAAAACATCCCGGTATTAAGCTGGCTGTTCTTAGGCCGGCGATGTTCCAGCTGTAAAAACCCAATCCCATGGCGCTATCCGGGTATCGAATTGCTCACGGCTATAGCTTCGGTTGCTGTCATTTCAACATTTGGGTTCACCTGGCTGGGTCTGTTTACCTGCCTGTTCACCTGGATGATGATAGCCCTCACGTTCATCGACTATGACACCAAATTACTGCCAGACCAGATTACCTACCCTTTACTGTGGCTAGGTCTGATTTTGAACACTTTTTTTATCGGCATTGTCAGTCCGCAGGATGCAATTGTCGGGGCCATCGCGGGCTATCTATCACTGTGGTTGATCTACTGGGGATTCAAACTTGCTACCGGCAAAGAAGGTATGGGCTACGGCGATTTCAAACTTTTTGGGGCTTTTGGCGCCTGGCTTGGTTGGCAGGCTCTGCCCAGTATTATTCTGATATCTGCAACCGTCGGTTTGTTGTATGCGTTAATGCAGATTGTGCTTTCGAAACAGACCGCAGCCCAACCGATCCCGTTTGGACCTTTTCTGGCAACTGCCGGTTGGGTCACCCTCATCTTTCGTGATACCGTGCTGGCCGTTTTTCTGCCGTAAAGCTATTTAAATCATGAAGAACTGGCTGGTAGGCCTCACCGGAGGTATCGGCAGCGGCAAAACCGCCGCCGCAGATCGTTTTGCCTGTCATGGCATCACTACAGTTGATGCAGACCTGGCCAGCCGAGCCGTGGTCGCACCCGGAGAGGGAGCTTTAACACGCATCGCTGAGCGATTTGGCCAGTCGATTCTTTTGTCTGATGGATCCCTGGATCGCACCCGACTGCGGCATATTGTTTTTGCTGATGAGGCGCAACGGCGATGGCTGCAGGGTCTGCTGCACCCCCTGATATCTAACTATCTGCGCCAACACATTGAGCAGGCCACATCCGAATATGTCATCCTGGTCAACCCCCTACTGATTGAATCAAAACAAGCTGCCTGGTGTAACCGCGTGCTTGTTATCGACACGCCTGAGTCAGAGCAGGTGGCCCGCACCATGGCGCGCGACAACAATACAGCCGCTCAAGTTGAAAATATCATGCGGGCTCAGCTGGCTCGGGATGCGCGCCTCGAAGCAGCTGATGACATCATCACTAATGACGCCGATCTTGAACATCTGCATACTCAGGTTGATGAACTGCATCGAAGGTACCAAGAGATATGTCGAACCCAGCCCGAATAGTTTCCTGTCCGACCTGCAAAGCAACGGTTAAATGGACACCACAGAACCCCAGTCGTCCATTCTGTTCTGAACGATGCAAACTCATTGATCTTGGCGCCTGGGCATCGGAAGAGCACGTCATTCCCGGCGATGCAGAAAACCAGGACATAAACAGCGAAGACCTGGACCGTTAGGTTCGATATTCCGCGTTAATACGCACATATTCGTAAGACAGGTCCGTGGTCCATACCGTTTCTTCAGCTGTACCCAGTCCCAGATCAATGGTCACAGTAAATTCATCCTGCGCCAGAACCGCGGCTCCAAGGCTTTCCGAGTAGCTCTGCGCCATCAACCCATCTTGCGCAACCCGCACGTCATCAAGCCAAAGCTGCACCCGTTCGGGTAATAAACCTTCTACTGGCGATCGTCCAATTGCCATACAGAAGCGGCCCCAATTGGCGTCACCGGCAAACATTGCGGTTTTAACCAGCGGCGATTCCGCAACCGTATACGCAACACTCAGACAGTCTGACGAGGTCCGCCCGCCTTTAACACAAACCGTCACAAACTTGGTGGCACCTTCGCCATCGCGCACCAGCGCCTGTGCCAGGTAGGTAGCCACTTCGTTAATCGCCGCGCTCAGCAACTGATAAGCGGAATCGCTTTCAGAACTAATTATCGGCAGACTGCTTTTACCTGTACAAGCCAACACAAAACTATCGTTGGTAGAGGTGTCTCCATCTACCGTTACTCGATTAAAACTTTTCCCGACAGCGGTGTTTACCAGTTTCTGCGCAAGTCCCGGCGCCACACCTGCGTCACAGGCTAAGTAGGCCAGCATGGTCGCCATATTTGGCTTGATCATACCGGAACCTTTGGCAATTCCGGTTACCGTTACCTGATGACCATCAATATCAATTTGCCGGGAGAGCCCTTTAGCGCAGGTGTCAGTAGTCATAATGGCATGGGCTGCAGCCAACCAACCCTGTTCGCTGAGTTGAGCAGATGCGGTGTCGAGTGCTGTTTTCAACTTACCGACTGGTAGCCGCTCACCGATCACACCGGTAGAAAAAGGCTGGATCTCGTCTGCGGATATCTGTAACAGACGTCCTGCATGAGAGCAGACTTCTTCTGCATCATGAACGCCAGGTTCACCGGTTGCGGCATTTGCATTGCCACTGTTCACCACCCAGGCGCGAACTTTTTTCTGACGCTGGCGCGCCAGAAGTACAGGTGCAGCAGAAAAATGTGACTGGGTAAACACGCCACCTGTTTCACTACCTTCAGCGAGTTCAAACACTGCCACATCATCACGCTGGGTTTGTTTGATCCCGGCACAGGCTGTGCCAAGCCGCACACCTGGCACAGCCAGCAGCTGCTCCGGCGCACTTAAGTTTACAGCCATACTATGCAGCTCCGAACTAGGCCACTTTGCCGTGACACTGCTTGTACTTTTTACCCGAACCACAAGGACAGGGCTCATTGCGCCCAACCTTGCGCTCATCGCGCACAAACGTTTCAACTCGTTCCGGCGACTCAGCATCGCCATTAGGCGCAACACCCGCAGGTGCGGCCGGACCACCAAGTGCGGAAGAATCGTCGTGGGTGAAATTCATTCGCTCGGCGGCTTCAGCGCGGCGCTTACGTTCCTGCGCCTCTACTTCTTCGGGTCGTTCAATCTGAATACGCGATAACATCCGCACGACGTCTAGCTTGATGTTGAATAAAAGCTCCTGGAACAACTCGAATGACTCACGTTTGTACTCCTGCTTGGGCTGTTTCTGCGCATAAGCACGCAAATGAATACCCTGACGGAGATAGTCCATGGTAGCCAGGTGTTCTTTCCAACGTTGATCCAGAATCTGCAACATCACCTGCTTTTCAACCAGCCGCATGTCAACATCTACAGCCTGCCACTCACTTTCTTTTCCTGCATATTCCGCTTCGATCTGCTCTATAACCCGCTCACGAAGTTTCTCTTCGTCAAGATTGTCATCGTCATCAAGCCATTGCTGGATAGGTTGGGTAGAGCCAAATTCTGTCTGTAACGCTTCCGTAAGACCCTGTATATCCCACTGCTCTTCAAGACTCTGAGGCGGTATGTACTGGGAAAACACATCGTAAACAACCTCTTCGCGTAAACCCTCGATGGTTTCTGAGATGTCATCCGCAGCCATCAGATCGCGTCGTTGCTGATAGATTATCTGTCGCTGATCGTTGGAAACATCGTCATATTCCAACAGATTCTTACGAATATCGAAGTTGTGGCCTTCGACTTTGCGCTGCGCGTTTTCTATCGAACGGTTAACAATCCGATGCTCTATCGCTTCTCCCTTCTCCATACCCAACGACTTCATCATTCCGCGAACACGCTCTGATGCAAAAATACGCATCAGATTGTCTTCCATGGAGAGATAGAAGCGACTGGAACCCGGATCACCCTGCCTGCCTGAGCGACCACGCAGCTGGTTGTCTATGCGACGCGACTCGTGCCTTTCCGTGCCTATGATGTGGAGACCACCAGCCTCAATCACCTGGTCGTGGCGCTTTTGCCACTCCCGAGTCAGCTCTTCTTTCTTTGCATCGCTGAGGTCAGACTCTCGCTCCAGCTCCGCCTCCAGACTACCACCGAGCACAATATCCGTACCCCGCCCAGCCATATTGGTTGCGATAGTGACCACACCAGGTCGACCTGCATCCGCGATAATGTCAGCTTCACGCTCGTGTTGTTTAGCATTCAGCACACTGTGCTTGATGCCCCGCTTATCTAATTCGTTCGATATGATTTCAGAGGACTCAATGGATGCAGTGCCGACAAGCACCGGCTGTCCTTTCTCGATCCGCTCATTGATATCCTCGACAATAGCGTCAAATTTATCTGCCATCGTCAGAAAGATAAGGTCGTTCTGATCGTCTCGGATCATCGGCTTGTGCGTCGGAATAACCACAACGTCTAAACCATAAATCTGATGAAATTCGAAAGCTTCGGTATCAGCCGTACCCGTCATACCCGACAGCTTGTTATACAGGCGAAAATAGTTCTGGAACGTGGTGGACGCCAGTGTCTGGCTTTCATTCTGAATCGACAGACCTTCTTTGGCTTCAATCGCCTGATGAATACCTTCTGACCAGCGACGGCCAGGCATGGCACGGCCAGTGTGTTCGTCAACAATGACAATCTCGCCATTCGACACCATGTAATCCACATCACGTTTGAACAGCGCGTGCGCTTTGAGCGCCGCGTGGACATGATGCAGCAGATTCAGGTTAGTCGCCGAATATAAACTGTCACCTTCGTCGAGCAGCTCAAGACGAATGAGTTCCTCTTCAACTTTCTGATGACCAAGTTCAGTTAATTCAACCTGACGATTCTTCTCGTCGACCATGAAGTCGCCGGTGGGCTCCGCTTCTTCTTCGCCAAACATACGAACCTGATCGACAAATTCCTGCTGAGTCAGCTTGGGTGCAAGCTTATTAATGATCACATAAAGCTTGGTGTTTTCTTCTGCAGCACCGGAAATGATGAGCGGAGTACGCGCTTCATCAATGAGGATAGAGTCCACTTCATCAATGATCGCAAAATTGAGGCCGCGCTGAAAACGATCGTCCAGCGTAAAGGCCATGTTATCGCGCAAATAATCGAAACCGAATTCGTTGTTGGTACCATAGGTAATGTCAGCTGCATAAGCCGCACGTTTTGATATGGGATCCTGACCGGATTGCACAACTCCGACGGACATACCCAATTCGGCGTAAATATCACCCATCCAGGTTGCATCTCGACGAGCGAGATAGTCGTTCACAGTAATGACATGCACACCCTTACCACTCAGCGCATTTAAGTATGCAGGGAGAGTTGCCATCAGAGTTTTACCCTCACCAGTGCGCATCTCCGCGATGCGACCTTCGTGCAGGGTAATACCGCCAATCAGCTGCGCGTCAAAATGGCGCATACCTTTGGTTCGTTTCGCCGCTTCCCGCACAGCGGCAAAAGCTTCCGGCAACAGAGCATCGAGCGCCTCACCGCCGGCAAGCCTCTGCTTGAATTCTTCACTTTTTGCCACCAGATCGCTGGCGCTGTCGAAGTCATCCTCAATCGCATTGATTCGAGCAACAATTTTGCCCATGCGCTTGAGTTCGCGATTATTCTTGGATCCAAACATGGATGTGAAAATGTTAGCCATAGCAACAGGTTGACCGATTTTCGAGTGGCGGCATTGTACCGACACTGGTGCCTAAGGGGAAAAAGGATTTAGCGCTTATCAGGAGCGCCGGGTAACATAACTGGCGGGATCAACAGTGCGGCCGTTTTTCAGCACTTCGAAGTGCACATGAGGACCAGTGGAGCGACCACTGCTGCCCATTTTTCCGATCGCTTCGCCTTTCTTGACCACTTCACCCGTTTCAACAGTGAGTTCTTTGTGGTGAGCATAGCGCGTAACATAGCCGTTGGCGTGGCTGATTTCTACCAGCTTGCCGTAGCCTGATCGTTTGCCCGCAAAGGTGACAACGCCACTGGCGACTGCAATCACATCAGATCCATCTTTACCTGCAAAATCGACACCTGAATGCCAGGCAGTTTTACCGGTGATGGGGTCGACACGCTGTCCAAACTGTGAAGATAACCATCCCCACTTCACGGGGCGGCCCCGGACGACTGACGTGGTCTGAATTTCTTCATTGACCAACACATCATCAAGCACATCGAGCTCGAACTCACGACGTTTAATTGCTGACGACAGTCGATCGAGCTCTACCGCGAGGTCATCAAACTGCAGCGCCGTTTGCCCACCTTCAACAGGACCACCCTGAGCCGGCAATGCACTGAAATCAAATTCACCGTCCTGCAATTCCGCCGCTTCAGCCATATGGGCGCCAATCGCCTCCATGCGCAGCAGACGAGCCTGCATCTGAGCCAATTGACGACCAACCGCCGCGCTCTGTGCCAGACTTTTTTGTTCGATGATCTGCATCGCTTCGCGCTGGCTGTCCAGCTTTGCGCGCCACTGCGCAACAACCTGTGAATCAACTTCATTCGGTTGAATATTCAGGCTGACCCAGATCACGGCAGATATACACAGCGTTGCCATAGCGGTTGCAGCAACAGCAAGGCGACGACGGCTGAACCGAACTGAAAGATGTGACCCCTTGTCACGGAGCACAATAATCTTCATGAGAACATTTGCTTTGTCTGGAGGTAAAGATCCGCAGGCATAAGCCTGTAGATTATTGTTTTTATAATGCGATACTGACCGGCGTGTCCGACCGAACAGGGAACCTCATCGCTGTGTCCACACACAAAATAGATGATCTGCTTAATGAAAGCCACAGCCGATTTACTCCGTTACAACGTCTGCTGAAAACATCTTCCAACCAGAAGCAATGGACAGCAGAATTCAGGGCTTTTATCGACGCACCTCTAAAACACGAGGTAGGTATCACCGATATTCGCGGTCCAACGGCCTACGTTTTATGTCGTAGTGCCGCGGCTGCCACGCGCCTGCGATTTCTAATGCCTGATCTGCTACCGCAGTTACAGACTCTGGCCAGCTTCAAACAAGTCACTGCGCTGAAAGTCACAGTGGCCAACTCCAGCAGCTGATTATGGCTTGTTCTACGTGAACTTAATGCGAACAGCGCCGCATACATAAACCTCTCAAGCAACGGAAAGGTCACACCAAAGTCGCGATACTAGGCGCTCGCCAGCAGTGGTTTCACGTAGGCAATAGGTGCGTTGGCTACGTCATCAAACGTCACGATGTCGTATGCACCTTCAGTTGCAAGTAACTTGCGCAGCAAAGCGTTATTAGGGCCATGGCCAGACTTGTGTCCGTTAAACCGGCCAATCAGGCTATGACCAAGAAGATACAAATCTCCGATGGCATCAAGAATTTTGTGTTTCACAAACTCATCTTCGAGGCGTAACCCTTCTTCGTTCAATATCCGGTAATCGTCTACGACTACTGCATTGTCCAGACTGCCGCCTTTTGCCAGATTCATCGCTCGCAATTTTTCATAGTCCGCCAGAAAGCCAAACGTTCTGGCCCGGCTGACCTCTTTTACATAAGCCATACTGGAAAAATCAACGCACACGGTATGTTCATGTTTCTTGAAGACCGGATGATCGTATTTCAAAGTGTAATTGAGTTGAAACCCGTCGTAGGGGCTCAATTCGGCAACAACATCACCCTGCTCAACACGTACGGTCTTGAGAATGCGCACAAATTTCTTTGCGGCTGTCTGCTCGGCAATGCCTGCGGACTGCAGCAGAAACACAAACGGGGCAGCGCTGCCATCCATAATGGGTAACTCTGGCGCACTGACTTCAACAAAAGCATTATCGATTCCAAGCCCGGCAAATGCGGACATGAGATGTTCGATTGTCGATATTTCGTGCTGACCGTCTGTGAGGGATGTCGCCATTGTTGTGGCGCCAACATTCAACGCGTGGGCCCTGAGGTGCACCGGGCTATCCAGATCGCTGCGGATGAACACAATGCCCGTGTCAACCGGAGCAGGTTTGAGGGTTACATACACTTTTTCACCAGTATGCAAGCCAACACCTGTAGCTCGGATCGTATTGTTCAGCGTGCGCTGTTGTAATGAATTTGTCACAGACATAACGGCGCGCATAGTATCAACCTATGGGTGGTCACTCTACGCACCAATCCTCACTTTTTGTTTCATTTTGTATCATATGACACGAGACTGAACGCGACGTGAACGCAAAACTTGAAAAGGTGTGCGACGACGTCACTTTGACATCGTCGCACCCTTTCAGCTGGAGAAAGGAGAATGACGCTCAGTCAGCCTGGCGCCGCAAAAACGCGGGGATATCCAGATAATCCATACTCTGACTGTCCGGAGTTTCAGTCCGCTGATCGCGTGCGGTTGCGCCCTGATGACGAGAATAAGCAGGTCGTTCAAAATCGTCGTAATTCAGTTCACCGTCCAGCGCCGCTGGGGCAACCGTATTATCGATGACAACACTGGGCGCTTCAGCTTCACCCAGACCCGTCGCTACAACGGTCACTTTAAGCTCTTCACCCATGCTTGGATCAATCACGGTGCCGACTACTACGGTAGCACCGGAGGATGCAAAGTCCTCAACAATACTACCCACTTCCGTGAACTCACCGATATTCAGATCCGGGCCGGCAGTCACGTTAACCAGAATGCCGCGCGCGCCATGCAGATCAACATCTTCAAGCAGAGGCGAACGAATCGCAGCTTCCGCCGCATCTCTTGCACGATTATCCCCAGACGCTCGACCGGTTCCCATCATGGCCATACCCATCTCAGACATCACCGTACGTACGTCTGCAAAATCCACGTTGATCATGCCGGGACGAATAATCAAATCTGCAATACCCTGCACGGCACCCAGCAGAACGTCATTCGCTGCACTGAACGCGTCCAGCATACTGGTTCGCTCACCCAAAACGGCTAACAGCTTTTCATTGGGGATAGTAATCAACGAGTCAACGTGTTGAGACAACTCGCGAATACCGTTATCCGCAACGTCCACGCGCTTTTCAAAATTGAAAGGTCGGGTAACCACAGCGACGGTCAGAATATCCATTTCACGCGCAATTTCAGCCACTATCGGCGCGGCACCAGTACCCGTTCCGCCACCCATGCCTGCGGTTATGAATACCATATCTGCACCGGAAAGCACTTCACTGATCCGCTCGCGATCCTCTATTGCCGCGGCACGACCGATATCAGGGTTGGCGCCTGCACCCAACCCTTTTGTTATACCGCTACCGATCTGCAGTGTAGTCTGCGCATCCAGATTTTTAAGCGCCTGCGCATCCGTATTGGCAGCAATAAAATCAACACCGTCTACACATCTGCTGACCATATGCTGCACAGCATTACCGCCGCCGCCTCCAACACCAATCACTTTTATCACCGCACTTTGTGGTGCGCTATCTACTAATTCAAACATTACCTTATCTCCAGCTAGAAATTTTCTCTTACCCAAGTCTTTAACCGCCCGAACAGACCACCCTTGTGGGCGCTCCCGCGAGCCGGCATTTCTTTTTCTCGCTCCAGACCGTACAGCAACAAACCTACGCCCGTGGCATAAACAGGGTTACGTACGATGTCCTTTAAACCAGCCACATTACGTGGCGACCCCAGACTGACCGGCATGTGGAATATCTCTTCCGCAAGCTCAATCACACCTTCCATTTTTGCAGCACCGCCTGTCAGGACAATGCCTGCCGCAATCAAATCCTCAAAGCCGCTGCGCCGCAGCTCTGCCTGAATCAACGTAAACAATTCGTCATAGCGTGGCTCGACCACCTCCGCAAGAGCCTGCCTGGACAACTCCCTGGAGGGCTTGTCCCCCACCCCAGGCACGTTGATAACTTCATCAGCACGAGCCAACTGGGTTAACGCACAGGCATACTTTATTTTTATATCTTCCGCGTTCTGCGTAGGTGTGCGCAGAGCCATCGCAATGTCATTGGTTACCTGATCGCCGGCAATAGGAATAACGGCGGTATGACGGATAGCACCTCCAGTAAACACCGCGATATCAGTTGTACCGCCACCAATGTCTACCAGACAGACACCCAGCTCACGCTCGTCATCGGTCAGAATTGAATAACTGGACGCAAGCTGCTCCAGAATGATGTCGTTAACGCTTAGGCCGCAACGCTCAATACATTTTTCTATATTCTGCGCAGCATTTACCGCACAGGTGACCATGTGCACTTTTGCTTCCAGACGCACCCCTGACATACCTAACGGCTCTTTTACGCCTTCCTGAGTATCTATGACGTATTCCTGTGGCAGCACATGCAGTATTTTCTGATCTGCAGGAATGGCCATGGCCTGTGCTGCATCTATCACGCGTTCAACATCCTGGGCATACACTTCCCGATCACGAATCGCGACAATGCCATGGGAATTCAAAGACCGGATATGACTGCCAGCAATTCCGGCATAGACACTTTCGATGGTGCAACCCGCCATAAGCTCTGCTTCTTCGATGGCGCGCTGAATCGACTGAACTGTGGATTCAATATTGACGACCACGCCTTTCTTTAGACCGCGCGAGTTGTGCGTGCCGATCCCGATAATCTCCAGCTCACCATCACGGTTAACTTCAGCGACTATTGCGGCAACCTTATTGGTGCCTATATCAAGCCCGACAATTCTTTGTAGCTGCGTATCAGCGGCCATCATTTATTCCTTCGACATAAGCTGCAGCATCTGCATCCGCAACCAACAGAGATTCATTATTTGTTTGCTGTTCCGGGACATAGCGCACGGCTACGCCATTGGCGTAACGGGCATCAACATATTCCGCGGGCTTATCCCCAGCGCTGAGCACTCGGCGATATACCAGTAAAAATCGGTGCATGCGCTCGTTTATCTGCTGCGCGCCAAGCAACACTCGCGGCCCCTTCGATAATTCTACGCTCCATTCACCCTGGCTATTCTGAGCAAGACGGCTGATGGCAAGGGATTCCCGAGCCGCAATCTGGTCCAGCAGGCGATAAGTCTGCATTGCTTCCTGAGGATTACTGACCTCTACCATGAAATGCGGCAGCCCGGGGTAGACATCTGGTAACTCAAGCAGATCGCCATACGCAGACACATATTGACTATCCCCCCAACGCGCAACAGGTGCGGCTTTGTGTAGTGTCACAACAAAGCGGTCAGGCCAGGCCCGGCGGATGCTGATGTCTTTCGCCCAGTGCAAACTCTGAACCCGGGATACAATGGCATCCAGTCTGGTTGAAAGGATGCCCTGCAACGCAGTGTCACTGAGTGCTGCCTGCAATTCAGCACGCTCCATACCAGACAGGTCGCCTTCAATAACAAACCCCTGCACAGGCTTATCCAGGGTATGCCAGAGACCAGCAGCCACCACAACAATGGATAACACAACCACAGCAAACAACAGGCGATTAAACATGAGCCTGCCTTAAGTGATTAGAAATCAGATTCACATTTCCAGCGCCCTGCACAACCAATACGTCAGCTTGAGCACAAAAGGCAGGCAACAGCTGCAAAGCTTCCTCGGGGTCTTGCGCATAAACGGGGCTGACACCGCCGCGCTGACGAATAGCCTGGCACAATGACTTACTGTCGGCTCCAGCAATGGGCCCTTCACCGGCGGCGTAAACCTCGACCAGCATGACCGCATCGAGTTCGGACAGAACACGCACAAAATCATCAAACAGATCGCGGGTGCGGGAATAACGATGCGGTTGGTAAACCATTGCAATCGTGGCGTCCGGCCAGACCTTACGCGCGGTCGCAATCACCGCTGCAACCTCGGTTGGGTGATGTCCATAGTCGTCAACCATCGACAGAAGCTGGTCGCCAACATGAACGTTGTCCGTCACCTGAAAGCGTCTGTCGACACCAGCAAATCCAAGCAGCCCCTCAACGATATGGCGGTCGTCTATACCTTCTTCAGTTGCGATCGCTATCGCCGCCAGCGCATTGAGAACGTTATGTGTTCCAGGGATCGACAAACTGATCTGTAACGGCCCGCCAAAACTGCCTCGATCGACATCGAACTGCCACGTTTTGCCGTCGGGTTGAATATTATGCGCTCGGAACTGAGCCTCAGCAGACAAACCATAGGTCAATACCGGCCTGGATAGATGCGGCAGAATATCTACCACCTCAGCATCATCAACACAGACCGCCACGGCTCCATAAAACGGCAAGCGATGAACAAACTCAACAAAGGTCTCTTTGAGCACATTAAAGTCGTTACCGTAAGTGGCCATATGATCACGATCAATATTGGTAATGACCGCCGACATGGGCTGCAACCGCAGAAAAGAACCGTCTGACTCATCCGCTTCTGCAATAAGATATCGACCCAGACCGAGCTCTGCATTAGTACCGGCACTGTTCAGCAGGCCGCCAATCACAAACGTGGGTGATAGTCCGGCACAGCGAAAAATTTCTGTCAGCAAACTCGTGGTTGTGGTTTTTCCGTGTGTGCCGGCTACGGCAATACCATGACGATAACGCATCAGCTCACCAAGCATTTCAGCTCTCGGCACCACCGGCGTACGGGCCTGGTGTGCAGCTTGCACCTCAGGGTTTTCTTCATCGATGGCACTCGACACTACAACCACATCAACATCGGCAACCCAGTCCGCGCTGTGCCCTATGTGTATGGTGGCGCCTTTGTTTTCGAGGCGTGCGGTGTTCTCAGAAGCTTTCACATCTGAGCCGGTTACCTGGTAACCCTGATTCAACATGACTTCCGCAATACCACACATGCCGGCACCGCCAATGCCAACAAAATGGATGCAGCGAATGCGCCCCATTTCCGGTACCTGGTAAACTGCTTGCTCAGCCACGTTGCGGCTCCCGATCTAAAGTGCAGCGCAATACCAGCGCCAGCATCGCGCAACAGACAATCAGACTGTTACCACCATAGCTGACAAAAGGCAGGGTTAACCCCTTGGTCGGCAGCACACCCGTGTTAACCCCAAGGTTCACAAGAAACTGAATGCCGATAATAAAGGCCACAAAATAGCCTGCCATGCCGGCAAATATGGCCTGCCGGGCTATATTTGCACGCGAGACTTTAAGCAGCTGGAACACCAGATACGTCAATAGAAGTGCGAGCAGAATCGCGCCAACGGCGCCAAGCTCTTCAGCCACGACGCTGAAAATAAAGTCGTTGTGCGCTTCTGGCAGGTAGTACAGTTTCTGCACACCTTCACCCAAACCCAGACCAAACAGTTCACCGCGCCCAAAACCAATAAGTGCCTGTGTCAATTGATAACCACTGCCAAAAGCTACCGACCAGGGATCAAGAAACGCAACGAGACGTTCCATGCGGTAGGGTTCGTCCCAGACCAGTAAGGCAAGAAGTCCAGCACCGGCCAACAGAATCAGCAGAAAATAACGCAACTTGGCGCCAGCCAGAAACAGCACAGCAACACTGGCGCCAACAATCACTACCGCTGAACCCAGGTCAGGCTCGACAACCAGTAAGGCACAGACCACACCAACCATCAGCAATGGTACAAATAATACACGCGGATCTTCGCTGAGTTTCTGATGATGTCGACTGAGATAGCCCGCCATGTATACACACAGGCCGAATTTCGCGACCTCTGATGCTTGAATAGAGAAGCCACCCAACCTTATCCAACGCTGAGCACCGTTAACCTCGGTACCTATTCCGGGCACCAGCACGAGGACCGCAATCGCAACAGACGCAACCCAACCTAACAGATAGAGCTTATTCCAGATCGAAGGGGGCACTGCAAAAACAACTACAGAACTGACAGCAGCAACCGCCAGGAAAACCATGTGTTTACTCAGGTGTCCGCCGCCCAGGGCGACAGCGGCTGAACCTACCATAATCGTGCCAATAACAAGCAACGCCACCCAGGGAATCACCACGGGAGCCAAACGAATTTCCGGCTGCAGGACCGGCACTATATCGTCCCCGCTGTTTCAAGCTTGCGAACCGCGCGCACAAATTGCTCGCCTCGATCAGCATAACTGACAAACATATCCAGACTGGCGCAGGCAGGAGACAATAAGACCGTGTTGCCCTGTCGTGCCACTCTTTGAGAGACGTCTACCGCCTCTTCCATCGACGCAACCAGAGTAGCGGCAACACCAACAGACTCAGCCAGCTGCATAAGCTGCGGGCCGTCCTGACCCAGCGCAACCAGATGATGCACTCTGGACGCCAACAACGCTGACAGAGGCGCAAGATCAACGCCTTTGGCATCACCACCAGCAATCAGGACCACCTGTTTATCGGCAGACATGCCTGCCAACGCAGCCATGGTGGCACCCAGATTTGTCGCTTTGGAGTCGTTTATGAAATTTACGCCACCAACCTCAGCAACCTGCTCAAAACGATGCGCCAGCCCCTGAAAAGAAGACAGCGCCTGAGTGAGCCTGTCTAAGTCCACCCACCCCTGAGTCAGGGCACAAGCCGCCAGCACGTTCTGCTCATTATGTTCACCCGCCAACGGCAACTGGGAAACAGGGCAGATAATCTCTTCGCCTCTAGCAATGAAGCGTTCATCAGCTGACAGTCGGATACCCCAGTCATCTGGGCCAGGCGGCTCATCCAAACCAAAGCTCACCGTTCGGCCATCTGTGTGAGGAAGCGTCAGCGGATCAGCACGGTTGAACACACGGGTACCTGAATTCGCATAAATGCGATGTTTACTTGCGGCGTATGCCTGCATATCTTGATGTTTATCAAGATGATCTTCGCTGAGGTTCAATACGGAAGACGCGGCGTATGGGTGGAGCAGGCTACGTTCGAGTTGAAAACTGGAAAGTTCCAGCACATAACAATCATGCTCGGAATCAATAATGTCGAGCGCGGCCACGCCAAGATTGCCGCCCACACCGCAGGAGTGACCAACAGCATTTATCAGGTGGCCTACCAGTGAAGTCACCGTGCTTTTCCCATTTGTGCCGGTGATACCAATTACCGGCGCCGCTACAGCAGCGAAAAACAGGTCAATATCGCTGTATAGCGGCACACCCGCTGCACGGGCGCTTTGTAACAAACAGGCGTCCATATTCAGGCCCGGACTGACAATTGCACAATCAACCGGCTCGCCATGGTCTGTGGTATTGGGCCATCGTGAAGTCTGCCAATGAATCTCTACCGGGCAGCTATCAATTTCTCGAGATGCGCGTGTGTCATAAACCGAGACATTTATATTTCGATCCAAAAGAAACCGGACTACGGACTCGCCGGTCACCCCGTAGCCGAGCACGGCTACAGACGACAGTTGATCGATATTTAAGGGTGAGGTACTGATCATCTCAGCTTCAACGTCGACAGACCGATGGTGACCAGCACTAACGTGACAATCCAGAACCTGACAATAACCTTGGGTTCCGGCCATCCTTTCAACTCAAAGTGATGGTGAATGGGTGCCATGCGAAAAATGCGCTTCCCGGTTAGTCGGAAAGACGCAACCTGGATAATGACGCTGGCCGTTTCGAGCACAAACAACCCACCCATAATTAACAACACTATTTCGTGCCTGACGATGATTGCAACTACGCCAAGTGCAGCACCCAGCGCAAGCGCACCTACGTCACCCATAAAAATCTGCGCGGGGTAAGTGTTGAACCAGAGAAATCCGAGACCTGCACCGATCAAAGCACCACAGAAAACTGCCAGCTCACCAGCTCCCGGTATATAGGGAATCTGCAGATAAGCGGAAAATTCAGTGTTGCCCGCGACGTAGGCAATCAGACCCAGCGCAGCACCGACCATGACCGTAGGCAATATAGCCAGACCATCAAGACCATCTGTTAGATTCACAGCATTACTCATGCCGACAATCATCAGATAGCTCAGAAGCACAAAACCGGTACCCAGCGGAATAGCCACCTCTTTGAAAAATGGCACAATCAAAGCTGTCTCAGCGGGAAGTTCTGCGGCGGTAAACAGAAAAACTGCGGCAGATAAACCAACTAAGGACTGCCAGAAGTATTTCCAACGCGCGACCAGACCCGCACTGTTCTTGCGGGCAATTTTCAAGTAATCATCTGCCCAGCCGATAATGCCAAATGCAGCGGTCACGCTGAGCACCACCCAGATATGACGGGACGTCAGATCTCCCCACAATAATGTCGTTACAAGAATAACAATCAGAATCAGCGCACCCCCCATGGTTGGCGTGCCGGCTTTACTGAGATGCGACTGGGGTCCGTCTTCACGCACGGTCTGGCCCATCTGCAGATCCGCTAGCTTGGCAATCACGTAGGGGCCAATCAGCAATGATGTAAATAGAGCGGTCATCACGCTGACCATGGTGCGGAACGTCAGATACTGGAAAACCGCAAAAGCGCGAACAAACTCTGAAAGATAGTCGGTCAGCCACAACAGCATCAGCTTCCCCCCGCGGATTTGGACAGCGCATCAGCAGCGACAACCCGATCATCAAAAGCGTATTTAGTACCCGCGATTTCCTGCACAGTCTCGTGGCCTTTACCGGCGATAAGAACCGTGTCGCCGCCCCCTGCCATTGCAACAGCTGCATATATCGCACGGCGCCGATCGGGTTCAGAGATAATCGTATCGCGCCTGTCCGCAGACACGCCCGCCATCATATCCGCAATAATCTGCTGAGCGGCTTCACTCCGCGGATTGTCAGCGGTGAACCAGCTGTGATCAGCGGCATCCGCAGCAGCCGCGCCCATCATCGAACGCTTACCGCTATCGCGGTCACCACCACAGCCAACAACACAATACAATTGCGCCTGACAGGTTTGTCTCAGGGCGCGTAAAACTTTAATCAACGCATCTGGCGTGTGCGCATAGTCAACAACCACAGTAGGCTGGTCGTCCCGTCCCGCAACAACTTCCATCCGACCCGGAACACCGGCCATATCAGCAAGCGCGTCGACAATTCTGGAGAGTGGATAACCCAGGGTCACAAGCGCAGCCATAGCCAGGGTGACGTTAGCCACAGCAAAGTCTGCAAGTACAGGCAATACCGCTTCACATTCACCATCAGGTGTCTGCCAGCTCACCAGCAAGCCGTTGGCATGGCGCCGATATCGCCAGCGCCAATCACCCGTTTGACCTACTCGTACCACCGGGCACGAACAGCGCTGCGCAAGCGCATCACCAAATTCATCGTCGACGTTGATGATCGCGGCGCGCAACGGCCACTGGGTAAACAGCTTGGCCTTAGCCTCACCATACGCGTCCATGGTGCCGTGGTAATCCAGATGGTCACGACTCAGGTTGGTAAACAAAGCGACATCAAATTCAATCTCTGACGCCCGATTCTGATGCAATGCGTGGGAGCTGACCTCCATAGACACACCTTCGAGCCCCGCGCCAAGCATATCTGCCAACTGACGCTGCAAGGCAACCGCGTTACCCGTAGTCATACCTTCATCAACCAGGTGATCTAAAGCCCCCCACCCCAAGGTGCCGCTGTAACCCATCGGATGGCCCAACCGCTTTGCCAGATCAGCAATGTGGTAGGCAACAGAAGTTTTCCCATTGGTACCGGTGACACCGATACAGGTCATATGTGCACTGGGGTGACGATAAAACCGGGCAGCCAGTTCACCGCGCCGTTTGGCCAGATCAACAACCTCGCAAACACACGAATCTGGTGCAGCCCGACTGAGCTTGGCCTGACTCGCTGCAGCGGAATCTATCAGCAGGGCCTGCGCGCCGCGGGCAAGGGCATCACGGCAATGTCGAAGCAGATCATCATCGTTGGCTGCCACGGCAATATAGCCAAATCCAGGTTGTACCTGTTGGCTGTGCTCAGCCAGCCCGGTAAGCTCAAGGGCAGGTACAGACTCGTCATCAAGCAAGGCTCGTAAATTCACCCGGCCGCCTTAACGCGACCCGGGTCACGTGCAGCCATCTGTTGATCAGGTAAAACACCAAGTAAACGCAATGATCTGGAAGCAACGCGCGCGAACACCGGCGCAGCTACCGCACCGCCTCCGGAGACTCCGGCTTTAGGCTCATTGACCACAACTACCATTACCAGCTTGGGATCACTGACAGGCACAACACCTGCAAACCAAGCCACGTGCCGCTCATCGTTATAGCCCTGAGGGCCCACGATCCTGGCCGTGCCGGTTTTGCCGGCCACGCGATAGCCACTAACCGCCGCTGTGGTCGCCGTACCGCCTTCAGTTGTAACGCCTTCCATCATCGCCAGTACTTCGCTTGCAATACGACGGTCAAAGACACGTTCGCGCATCAAGCGCCTGCTCCGATCGGACCGTGCGATAACTGAAAGAGGTAGCTTTTCGCCAAGAGTCGCAAGCGTAAGATAGGCATGCGCCAGCTGCAGAGGCGTGACGGACAAGCCATAACCATACGCCAGACTGGCCCGAACCACCGGATAACGCAGTTGCGCGCTGGCCAGATATCCCATGGTTTCACCAGGCAAGCCAGTACCCAGAAAATCACCTACCCCGGCTCGACGGATAACATCAAAAACGGCCTGCTCTTCCAGATCCAAGGCAATTTTTGCAAAGGCCACCTGACTGGATTTCTGCAGTGACTCCGCCAGGGTTATCAAGCCGCGATTAACCGGGTCCTGTACCAGCTTTTTACCAATGTGGAAAAAACCTGGCGCTGTTTCAATCTCGGTACGACCACTATAGCGACCTGTTTCCAATGCGGCCAACGCCGTAAAGGGCTTCATGGTCGAGCCGGGTTCGTAGGCGTCTGTAATCGCGCGGTTGCGCATGCCCGAAAGCTGCTCACGAATATCGTTTGGGTTGTACGAAGGCTGATTCACAATGGCAAGAATCTCACCGCTGGCTACATCCAGCATCACCAGTGAACCGGATTTAGCCTGGTGACTGGTAACCGCAGACTTCAGCTCCCTGTAGGCCAGAAACTGCAGGCGCAGATCGATACTTAAATTCAGGTCCTGGCCATATTCCGGCGCACCGTTATAAGACAGATCTCTGATGTTGGTGCCCTGACGATCTCGCAGGACCACCTTGCTGCCGTGTTCACCTTTGAGCACCTCTTGAAAGGCATATTCGCTGCCTTCTATGCCTTCGTCATCAATATTGGTGACGCCAACAATGTGCGCGGTGGTTTCTGCGGCAGGATAATAACGCCTGTATTCCGGCTGCAGATAAACATGGCTGAGGCGTGCTTTGCGGACCTGCTCCGCAACTGCCCAGGAAACCCGCCGCTTCAGATAGACAAACTCTTTGTCACGATGGGTCTGCATACGTTCTGTCAGGCGCTTTGCGGGCACATCGATCAGACCTGCGAGCTGCGCCAGCGCATCACTGCCTAACTGCGCTTTACTGGGATCAGTCCACACGGCAAAAACCGGGGTACTCACCGCAAGCGGCTCACCTTGCCGATCGTAGATCACACCGCGCATAGCTGGGATGACTTCTGTTCGAATAGAACGGGCGTCACCCTGCTCCTGCAGAAAATCTCGATCACTGACGCCCAGGTAGACAACCCGGACACAGAGCCCGATTACCGCGGCAAGAAACAACACCAGCAATGTGTAGTGGCGCCAGGCACTCATTCGAGAATTTCCCCCAGCTGCTCAGGGAATTCCATACCCAACTGTGTCTGCGCCACAACTTCAATGTTCTGCATGCTGCCAAGGGTGCCGCGTTCCAACATCAGCCGGCTATGCTCTTCCAGCAGTCTGTCCTGCTCCCGCTGCACCTGCGTCAGGCTGCCGTAGAGGCCACGCATATCATGGGCAGCTGCGACAGTGCGCAGACCGCTGTAAACGATCACACCGAGCAGCAAAGCGAATACCGCACACCAACCCAGGGCAACCAGATTGAGCGGCTGTGGTTTGGAAGTGGCGCGACTTCTAGACATGTTGCGCCTTCTTTTCAATGACCCGCAGGGTGGCACTGCGCGCGCGTGGATTGTTTTTCAATTCAAGCGCCCCAGCACGCACCGGACCTGCAATATCTGTCGCTGCGGTGGTCATCTGCGCGTGACGCAAAGGCACTCGCCGCGGCATGACTGGCGGTCGCGTCCAGGTTCTGAAGGTGTGCTTAACCACACGATCCTCAAGAGAATGAAAACTGATCACCGCAAGACGACCGCCTTCAGCCAGCAACGCAAAGGCCGCCGTCAATCCGGCCTCCAGCTCAGCAAACTCCTGGTTAACATGAATACGCACAGCCTGGAATGTCTGGGTAGCGGGATGTTTCTTCACCGGGCCTCGCTGAGGCACAGCCTGGGCAACGGTGTCAGCCAGCGCCTGGGTGGTTGTCAGCGGACGGGCCTTGATGATCGCCCGTGCAATTCGACCGGCAAACCGCTCTTCTCCGTAATTTCTCAGTACCGTAACAATTTCGCGTTCTTCGGCCTGGTTGAGCCACTGCGCCGCAGTGTCGCCGGTGCTCGAATCCATGCGCATATCCAGCGGTCCATCGTGACGGAAGCTAAATCCCCGGGCGCCTTCATCGAGCTGTGGCGAGGACACGCCCAGATCCATCAATATGCCTTGCACTGAGGTAAAACCTTCCTGCTCCAGCGCGGCAGTGAGCTCTGAGAACCGGGTATGGCAAACCGACACGCGCGAGTCTTCCCGCTCAAGCTGTTCAGCAACCGCAACGGCGTCGGGATCCCGGTCAATCACTAACAGGCGTGCATCACTGGGTAAGCGCGCTAACAGCGCACGGCTATGTCCGCCTCTACCGAAGGTTGCGTCAACAAATTTGGCGCCGTGCAGATCGGCTTCAGGTGATATCAAAGTCTTCAGAACTTCGTCCAGCAATACAGGTATATGGTCTGACGCCGCACCCGCAAAATCCGAAATGTCGGCAGCCACTAAACCGACAACCCGGTGAATGCATCTCCGTCTTTAATCAGGTCTGCGCTATCTTCGGCCAGCCAGCCCTGCATACTTTCCTTCCATTGGTCTTCAGACCAGATTTCGATCTTATTACCCTGGCCAACCAGTACTAACTTTTTGCTTAAGCCCGCATAATCGCGCAACATGGCAGGCAGCAATATCCGGCCATTGGCATCAAGTTCCAGATCTGTTGCATGACCAATCAGTAAACGCTGCAGTAAGCGCGCTTGCGGATTGATATTGGAAAGATCTTCAAGCTTGCGCTGCACAACTTCCCATTCAGGAAGGGGATAGAGGAGGAGACAGGATTCACGCATATCAATGGTGACCACAACTTTGCCACCGCAGGCGAGCACAACGGTTTCGCGATTCCTTGACGGAAGCGCCATCCGGCCCTTGTTATCGAGCGTTGCATTGTTGATACCGCGAAACACTGAAATTTTAAGAGGGTGAAACCCACTTTTCTCCACTTTTTCCCAACTAGCGACACTATAGGCGCGCAGAAAAGAGAGTCAAGCCGTGGATTTAGCGTAACTGTAGGAAAAATAAAGGATTTTTGGGAAATAAGACCCATGGATAGGCAGCTTTTAGAGCTAGTACTGACACCTAGCGCGGCTATCTCGAATCTACATTAAGTTACTGAGTTTTTGAGAATAAAAATTCAGCTTTTAATAACTGAGAGTCGGCCTATAAGCCGGGTTCTGTTATCAACAGTCATTCATCTAGGGCTACCGTCGCCAGCAGCCTCCAGCGGCCTACCCGAATCCAATGCGGACCACATCAACGGATTCCTATTTGGCCTTGCTCCAGGTGGGGTTTACCTTGCCACGAAGTGTTACCACCCGCGCGGTGCGCTCTTACCGCACCCTTTCACCCTTACCTCTTCGGGCAACAGTTGTTGCCAGATGAGGCGGTCTACTCTCTGCTGCACTATCCGTAGGCTTACGCCCCCCAGGCGTTACCTGGCACCTCGTCCTATGGAGCCCGGACTTTCCTCCCATCAGGCTTTAACCCCCGATCGGCGACTGTTCGGCCAACTCTCCCGCGCACCTTAATGCTTCCCACTGCGCTGCACAAGCAATTGCCGACCGATGAGCCAGACAGTACATTCAGCTTCTCTCAACAGACGTTTTTGCTGCCAGCGTCAGCGCCAGATCGTACATCTCACTTTTGCGCACGCCGCAGATACCTGCCGCAACCTTCGCCGCCTTAGCTGCAGGCAACTCGCCTAACAAAGCAGTCAACACTTTCACGTGATCATAATTCTGCTCAACGTCCGCAACGGATTCAATAACACAGGTAAATTCGCCTTTTGGATGCTCGCCTAAGGCCTGAATAATTTCATCAGGTTTACCCACCAGTATCGTTTCATACTGTTTTGTCAGCTCGCGGCCAACCATCACTCGACGATTGCACACCAGCGCAATATCCCGCAAGGAGGCAAGAATGCGATGCGGAGCTTCGAGAAACACCAGCGCGTGGGATTGAGCCAGGAAACCCTGTAATGCGCGCTGACGATTGCTGGATTTCGCGGGTAAAAACCCCACATAAAGGAATGGCTGACAAGGTAACGGACACACGGACAAAGCAGTGGTGATTGAACAGGCGCCAGGCACAGGCACAATTTTTATGCCTGCCGCATGAGCGGCACCAACCAGCAGAAAGCCGGGATCGTTGACCAGCGGTGTACCTGCATCAGACACCATGGCTATGTCCGCTCCGTCCTGCAGACGCGAGATCAGTTTGGGCAGCATCTGCTCTTCATTATGCTCGTGCAGGCTCACCAGCTCCGGCACATGATGGTCGATGTGATCTAACAGCCCGCGCGTACGTCTGGTATCCTCTGCAGCCACAATCTGCACAGATTTGAGCACTTTTTCTGCTCGACGGGTGAGATCTCCAAGATGTCCAATGGGTGTAGCCACAACGTAAAGGACGCCAGCTTCAGGTAGCGCAGTCATGTATATCCGTTTAATCGCCGTTTTCGCCCTCATTCTGACAATCTCTGGGTGTCAAAGCACCACAAACCCGACACAGTCGACGGGAAATTTAGCCGACCGTAACGGTTCAAGCCTGCTGGCCCGGGCGATAGGCAGCAAAAATCCTGCACAGGCGGCTATATATCGCATCCAGGCTGCTGAAGCTTTTGCCTATCAGAAAACTCACAGTCGTGTCATTGATGCGCTCACGCCTGTGAACCTGGGCCTGCTTGATGCCGAAGACGCCGATCAGGTGCGGCGCTTACGGGCAGAGGCCTGGCTCAAGCTGGGAGACTTGCAGGCTGCAGAATCCGCCCTGGGGGGCCTGTCCAACTGGCAGCCCGAAGATCAACTGATTCTTGCGGAAATCTGCGAAAACCTGAGCAGTTTCCGCTGCGCAGCTGATGGTTATATTCAGGCATCAATTGCTCTGGGCCTGGGCGCCCCGGAACTACCTGCTGACATTCACGATAGGATCTGGCAGATGCTGAGTCGCGCTCAGAGCGCGCCAGGCGCCTTTACTCATCGCTATCATCATGGTTGGTGGTTACTGCAACAAAGCATTCGTGACGCCGGCTCAATCACCGGACAAATGCAGGCCTGGCAAAGTTGGCAGGAACGCTATCCAAGCCACCCGGCTAATCTGCAACCACCCAGCGCGCTGGCACAACTGAGCAACTATCGACTCCCGAAGATCGCATTTCTGCTGCCCCTTTCCGGGCAGTTCGGCAGTGCAGGACAAGCGGTGAGGGACGGACTGATTGCCGCTTATCTGGGAGAAAAAGGCAGCAGCAAACCCACCATTCGTTTTTACGACACCGGCGCAAAGCCTGCCGCACAGTTGTATGAAGATGCCCTGTCAGACGGGGCGGAAGTATTGGTTGGACCGCTGCTACGTGAAGAAGTAGCAGAATTTGCCAACGCCACAGCGACATCCCAAATTCCACGGCTTGTGCTGAATTACCTGACGCCACCCGGCACCCCTATGCGGCCATCGAATACAAGTTCGCCACTATTTCAGCTGGGCATCGCCATTGAAGACGAAGCAGAAACTCTGGTAAATCACATTCTGCTGGCCGGCTACGAAAACACCCTGGTTATCCACAGTAATGAACGATGGGCGCGTCGCGCGCTCAACGCCTACATTGACAGCTGGCCACATGAGATGAGCCAGGCATCTTTCACCGACATCCAGAACCTCACCAGCGCGGTGGGCGAAGCCATGCAGGTTGCAGCCAGCGAGTCCCGCCGCACCAACATTGCCAATATTCTCGGCAAGCAGCTTGAATTTCTACCCCGCGCCAGAGGCGATCTGGACGCCATTGTTGCCTTTACCAGCCAGGTGGAAGCCCAGGCATTGGTGCCCGCACTGCGGTTTCACTTCGCCGACGACCTACCTGTATTTGCCACCTCGCAAACTGCAAGGGGTGATAAATTCAGCGTCCTGGATGGTTTTGAGCTGACCGAAATGCCACTGTTTGCCACTCCCAATGTTGCCCAGGGTCATCTGATAGAAGCTTACGCTCTGCAGAACAATCCGCTGGCAGAGCTCTACGCACTGGGCTTTGATGCATTCAGAGTTGCGACCTGGTTGCCCCTACTCAACCTGCAAAGTCAGATCGCACTGCCTGGTGCCAGCGGCAATTTATGGTTAGAGCCCGGCGGCAGATTCCGCCGGGACCTGGCGCTGAACAAAATCAGCGCCAGCGGAGACAGGACACGCGCTGAATAACCCACAGTGCAACGCAAGGACAAAGGACCACTCGGCGAGCAGACGGCCTTGGACCACCTGCTCGGAGCAGGGCTCACCCTGATTGAACGCAACTACAGCTGCAAACTTGGTGAGGTTGACCTGATCATGACCGATCAATCCGCGCTGGCTGAGACCCTTGTGTTTTTTGAGGTGCGGTACCGCAACACCCAACAATTTGGGGGAGCTGCAGCAAGCGTCGATGCAGTCAAGCAGAAAAAGCTCATCCGTACAGCCCACCACTTTCTGAAAACTCACCCGAAATTACGCAAGCTGCCTGCAAGGTTTGACGTCATCGCGCTGAGCGGCAAACCTGCGGAACCGGACCTGCGTTGGATCAAGCAGGCCTTTCAGGCATAGCAATTTCGCTAATAAGAACAAGACCACGCATTGACGCAGGACCGGTCACACCGCCACACTAACCCTTTCCAACTAAAACACGTTGATATGGCTAAAACTGTTCAAATAACCCTGCTGCTGGTTTCCCTCTTCACCCTAATGGGTTGTGTAAATGACCCCAGTAAGAGAACAACGGGCACATTTATCGACGATGCGGTCTTAGAGCCGCTCATTAAAAATGAAATCTTCAAGTCCAACCCTGATTTCAAGGGCTCACATATTGTTGTGGTCTCTTACAACGGGCTGGTTCTGCTGGCCGGACAGGTGGCAACAGCTGAGCTCAAGGAACAGGCCGCGACAGTTGCTCAAGAGGTCAACCGTGTCCGTAAAGTCCACAACGAATTGAGTATCGGCGGCCCCATATCACTTGTTGCGCGAACCAACGATACGTGGCTCACAGCCAAGGTGAAGTCTCGCCTGGTTGGATCTTCTGAAGCAAAAGGTTTGAAGGTTAAAGTTGTTACAGAAAACGGTGTGGTGTACTTAATGGGGCTTCTGAATAGAAGGCATGCCGACGCTGTGGTTAACGTGACAGCAAACGTCTACGGGGTTCAGAAAATCGTGAAAGTATTCGAATACTTAGACTAGCCTTAAGCCGGGCTTGTTGTCCGGCGAGGCATCAGGGTCAGGGCCTTTCTGTTTGTCCGTTGCCTCTGGCGCATCCGGCATCAACGCTTCCTCTTCCGGGAAGACCATCCCTTCGCGGGTATCTTTTGCATAAATCGCCCGGATCGAATTCATCGGCAGGTAGAGCTCAAAGTGCTGCCCGTTGAAGCGACCACCACACATCACAAACTGATCATCCATAACCAGATCGCGCACTGCGTTCGGGCTCATGTTAAGAACAATCTGGCCGTCCTGAACATGGGCTTCCGGCACGCTGACGCCGGTAACCGTCGCGTCCACCAGCAGATAAGGCGTCTCATCACTGTCGATGATCCACTCGTACAGCGCCCGCAATAAATAAGGGCGCTGGGGTTTCACTCCTGCATCTCAATTTCGGTTTCGGTCAAGCTTGCCCGAAACGCATCCCTTTCAAACATCGTTTGCATATATTTATGCAACGGACGCGTGGATTTTTCAGGCAGGGTGATGTCCACTTCTTTCAGACGCCACAGAATCGGCGCAACACAACAATCGACCAGCGAGAATTCTTCATTCATGAAATAGGGTTTTTCACCGAAAATGGGTGCTATAGCAATGATGCTCTCGCGCAGTTCCTTGCGCGCTTTTGATAACAGCGTTTCACGACCTTTGCCTG